TACCATGAAGAATTGACATCGAAAACAATTTGCATGTTTAAAACTCCAGAAATATGCAAATGTAAGTACTTTTAAATTGATGTAAACAATTTTTACGAATATTGTAGAGAGGAAATGAGAAGAGAGGATTGCTTCTAATTAGAATGAATCTTCCCGTTTTAACGTTTTAATATGCAGAGCAGGACAATTTTAAGGAAGCACTCACTCATAAAGTCCTCCTTAAATAAATAAAACCATTTTATTGCAAAAACCATCTTGTTATAAATTTATGCAATTATTTTTCATTGTCTGTTCATAACATCAAAGAGCTTTACAATTTAGGTATAATTACATATGATTCGCAATTCATAATATAATGTTCATATTTCATTATTTATATTATCTGTTGTCTTTCTCCACTGATGATTCAATGATTCAAATGTGTGTGTTATTGTAAAACACACATGTATATACTCACTTATACTATTATATTTGTATACTTGTATGTTAACTCTATAAGCTGTATTGCTTTTGAATAAAAGACGTATTATTATCATAATAAAACAATTATCTCACCTAAACTATGACTTTTTTTTTGTGATTATTGTTTTCATCTTAACTATTGTAAAATTGTGATGCCATTTGTCGTGGCGTGGCACTACACCGATTGAAGACCGGTAGTGTTTGAAAATCTTAATAGAGTAGAGAGTGTGTATTATATTGCAATGATACAGTAGAAGATGAATTCCATGTACTTTTGGACTGTCCGCTTTATCAGGAATTCATAAAAGCTTTGTTTAACGAAGTTTTGAATGCTGAACCAGACTTTATGAATTTTGATAATTGTCAAAAATTGATATTTTTATTTTCAGATATTAATGTAAGTTAGATTTTGTACCAAAGCCTGCTATTTTATTTTTTTTTTTAAATCAGAGTGTGTGTATTGTAAATAGACCTACAGTTTTATTACTGTGGCATATACTTTTTAATGTATCTTATGTAGCTTTTATCGTCTCTCAATAAAGAGAGGTAAGAATACCAAAAGGACATTCAAACTCATATGAAAGTCGAAAATAAACTGACAACGCTATGGCTTAAAAAGATAAGACCAACAGAAAAACAACAGTACACAAAACACAACATAGAAAACAAATGACTTAGCAACACGAACCCCAACATAAACTGGGGGTGATCTGAGGTGTTCCGGAAGGGTAAGCAGATCCTGCTTCACATGTGGCACCCGTCGTGTTGCTCATGTTAGTACAAACCCGATGATGAGTCTAATTTGGTAGGTTGTATTTGGGGAAAAGGGGACGGGATTGTAGTTACGACAATTGGAACATATCCGTCGTCATCTGTGAAACAGATATTCAACATCGGCCAGCAAACTCGTGATGGCGTCCGCAAAATTTACGAAGGGATGATTTCAACTTCAGCACTTGGAACTCTTGTTTTAATAGCTTCCTTGTGATACATAACTCTGTGTTTTTTGTATTGTATAAGTAAAACATGGTATATGTATAATGTATATATCTTTGTACAAAAGGCGAGACGTTAATAAAATATTGAATTGAATTAAATCTTGATATGATAAAATGTAAAAATTAAAAAGTTGACTAAAACTTGTAAAGTTTATAAATAAAATAAGAAAAGGGATTAATATAATTATATCAATTTTAATGCAATATCACACAGGGATGCCCTAGAAAGTAATTGTTTGATAGTTTATGGTTTCCCGTGTCAAACGAAAAATAATAAGAAGATAGCGGTGCTCCCTCTTTAAGAAGATGCAAATATGGTTAACTGCACAATTATGAATATATATTTCGCTTATATCAATACAAAATATTGGACAATTTTCGTTAAGATCCTTGATATTTGTGGTATTAATAATAAAACAAACAATTTGAATTAAATATTACTGTCAACCTCATAGCAGATTTTACATCAGTCTTTGTTGTTAAAAAGAGAAAATAAAAACAAAATTTCAGGTAAAAATTCAACACATGACTCATTATTATATTTTATCATGTGATTAAATAGTATAAAAATATAATTACAATCTGTGACATAAATCTGTGTTCTATTTAAAGTACAAAAAGCACCAAAAACAAGGCGGGCAAAATGTAGTTTGTCTGATCCTGTCTGGATATAGATAGTACATGGATTTACATCTATTTACCTTAAATCAAAATTGTGTCATTCAAATCATCAAACACACCTTTTAATTGACGTGCTTGACAAAAATGACACTTTTGGAGCAAATTATGATGGTGAGAAGGATCAGTTTCTGACATACAGTATATCCAGAGGCTCATTTCATACAATATCATTCACAGTAACAGAAATTTACTAAACAGGTAGCCCTTTATTAATCTTAAACACAGAACATGTAAAAATATTTAGCTTCATATAGGGTATAATTTGATAAATATTTTACCAATATGACTTGTGAGAATTTATAATAGAATTAAATGCTCGAAACATAGTAATGTGCGTATGACTTGTACTCAGTAATACGGGAAAATGGATTATTTTAAAGAAAAACAGGGTATCAATTTTAAAGTTAGACATATATTCATAATATAACAAAACACTTAATCATAATTTTGTCACAAATTGTTTGATTTGCCATGATAAGTAATACAAAACTAAGTACATTTTAGATATGACGTGTAAGAAATCATGCAAATTAATCTAGGTTTCAGATACATTGTACTAAGTTCATTAACCACATGCCATTTCGTCATATTTGACCCGAATAAATGTTGAGAAACGTATTTTTGCGATCAGTATATAAATAAAGATTTTATCATTGCATCGAATGAGAAACGACCATTTCTCCTCGAGAGACTTAAAAATTTGAATTTAAACGCCAATGTTGCCGAAAGTCAGTTCAAATATAAAAAAAACAGCTATTAAAAGTATGGAAATACTGTATCTCACGATAAACGGTTGATATTTACAATATGAATATAAACTTTCTCTTTCTATATGACGTTAACCGGCAGCCATGGTCGCCTTTTTCGTGACGTCACAGTTGCGAAATTAGAAGAAAGCAAGAATATTGGACGTCATAGTCATTAATTTATGAATAAAGAATTAAGATAAAGCTAACCACATGTTGATTATAGAAAACCATATCAACAACCGGTGATGATGATGTTGATCTTACGAAAGTCATTTTATATTTTGGATAAAAAAAAAGAGTGCACACGCTGATATGTCTCGCCTGTTTTACTTATCTTGATTGAACTTATATGAAGGTTTTACTACAAGTGTCACAAACTTAACATTATCACTGATCCATGTAAAAGAGGTTAGGGTAAAATGAACCCTACCAAACAAACTTGTACACCATGCAATCATTTCATACACCACATATAGTTGATCTATTCATTTAAAGCAAATGAGAAACAGACATGATCATGTAAATTAAACATTGACCAATGAACCATGAAAATTAGGTTAAGATCAAACGAACTCTGCCAGACAGCATGTACAACGTACAATCATTCCATACACCAAATATAGTTGACCTATTGCTTACAGTATCTAATAAACTGACAAAACCACGAAAACTTATATTGACCAATAAACCATCAAATTGAGGTCAAGGTCAAATGATCGTTGCCAGTCGGACATGTATAACATACAATGATTCTAAACATTTTGGGGACTCTATAGCTTGCTGTTCGGTGTGAGCCAAGGCTCCGTGTTGAAGACCGTACTTTGACCTATAATGGTTTACTTTTTATAAATTTTGACTTAGATGGAGAGTTGTCTCATTGGCATTCATACCACATCTTCTTATATCTATTAAATTTAACTGACCTATTTCTTATAGTAACTAAGTTACGCACTTGACCACGAAAAATTAACCGTGACCATTGGTTCATGAAATGATGTCGAGATCAGTTGCCTGACGGACATGAAGAATTTGTAAGGATCCCCTTTACCAAATATAGTTACCATATTACTCATGCTAAGTGAGTATTTTGCATGACAAAAAGACTACACATTTGTTCAAACAGTCACTGAACCATACAAATATGGTCAAGGACATTAGACATATGACAGTCGGAAACTTAACATAAGATATTTGTATACAAGGTATAAAGCATCCAGGTATTCTATCTTCTAAACTATAAAGCTTCATATAAATAGTTTACGCCGCCTCCGCCGGATAGTTATCCGTGTGTCTCGCATTCTATAACTTTCGCCGCAGGCGAGACAAAATTTGTATTAATAGCATTTTCGTCGTACGCTTGAAATACTATCCTTTTAAGTTGATGGAATTCTTTTTACCATTCATAAAATTTTAATTTGTTGCATGCACAAATCTTTAAAATAAGTATAGAACAGGATTCATCGGATAACCTTGTAGTGTTCCATGCTTTTCAGTAAATTATTCCTCATTTATAGATCTCATCATTTCAGTTCAGGGATTTGTTGCTGCAGTAATTAGATTGTTTAAATAAAAATGAAAACAACACTTTATAAATTTCATGCGTCGGAAGCGTTTTGCTGGATTTACCTTCATCAGGAACTATGAAAGTCGAATATTTGAAAGCCAAGGATGTATTTAAATGAATATAAAATGTTTGTTAAAATGCGAGATGTTTGCACTTTCCTGTGAAGTGAAAGAAACAACAGATGGCCAATGAATCTATCCGTGTTAAAAACAGTCGTTATTTCCTAAGTTGTGTCTTACTGTCATAAACTATAAAATAGAGAGAAGTAATTGGCATGTTCGTGTATTTCTAGTAAACACATATTTGAATGAATAATGGTTACATATAGATTTCCTTCCGTTGATCAACCCCTTACCAGACTTATTCAAATGTTGTGGTTACACATTTTTATCTTATCAGTATTTCTCTCTAAAACTAAATACCATAATACATTCTCTTTATAGTTGTTTCAGAAATGTAATTTTAGCGTTGACATTCATGTTTATGCATGTAAATAAATCTTGTCCACGGTCTCTACCTTTGACAAGAGTGATGATAGATTAGTTCTTTGTCACAGGTGAGCGCCTGGAACAGTCTTGGTCGATTGTCCCGGTAGAGTGTAGGCATAATGCAATAAGTAGAATTTTTACTAAAAAAATTCCAAAATACATGGTTTATAAACAGTTACGGGAACTTAATTAGTGGAGTTACTGTTTATTAGGTAAGTGTTATTTAGAGTAATGATAATTAGTATAACATCTTCATGATTATGTATCACTAGTTGCGTCCCCTGGATATGTGTACGGGGTTAAAGAAGAGTAAAATTTGTATGGATACACAAAACAGAAGAAATAAGATAAAAAGGAATAATTTCATGCATAAGAAAACTTTATTTTTAAAATAATGTAGAAAAAATATAACTTCCATTAATTTCAGTAGTTTTAGAAATCAAAGTGATATCTTTCAATATGTTCATTTGCTGTCAGTTTAGTATATACTAAAACATTAGGTTTACATTTTATATATTCAATATATACGAATCAATACTTTTATTCAAGGTTTAGACAGAAATTAAAGAGCTCTGTAATTAAAACAGGTCGTATGACAATTTAGAATGTGAAAAGTCATTAAAGTAAATGATCTCTATTTCTATAACATATAATTTTGTTAATATCTAGGTCAATATTTTGATACTTTATTGTTTTAATTCCATAAAAATGTATTGTTTGTGTCAACATATTCATATACTGATGTTACAGACAAGCACATAAAATGAATAAATAACAAAATAAAATCCGAAACAATACAAACTCATCAACAGATATATACTATTTTGAATTGATGGAAATCCTATTGTAACTGTAAAGACTACTAATATTTTTATCATTAAACACAAATTAATTCATCTTATTGAATTAATGCATCTTTCATAGATGACTACGTGACATATTGGCAAGGACTGCATAAAATAAATGTTTAAAAACAAAACCACAATTCATTGTAAACCATAAAATCACTTAATGATTTTATTATCTGTTAAATGAATATATAGTCTACAATTTTGACATTGACAATTTAACGTGGTAAGCTGTATCGATATTAGTCATTGGCATAGAGTTTAGATCTATAAAAAGTTTTGTTTAACATGAAGGTCGACTTGTTTTCTCGACCTTACATCAAACCAGTTTTAAAAGTAGAATACAACAACAGTATTCATTTCTTGAAGAAACACACAACTTAATCGCGTTGTCTATTGGTTTCATTTTCAGTTAGGCATTAAAAAATAAATTGTTTTGTTAAATATAAGACCGTTAGTTTTCTCAGTTGAATTGTTTCATATTTTTCCTGTCGGGACCTTTTATAGCCGGCTATATGGTATGGGTTTTTTTCATTGTTGAAGGCCGTACGGTTGCCTATGATTGCTTAAATCCACTTCATTTGAACTAAGGTGGATAGCTGTCTCATTGGCAATTATACCACATCTCCTTATTTTTATATTGTAGATGTATTCGGTCATTTTATAAATCCATCTGTTATAAAAAAAAAAACCTGAAGAAATGTTTTTAATATTAATAGCAAATCTTGACTCTCTGATCATTGAAGGGAACGTCAATGTTAACATAATTCCAAAAGGAGAAATTGGTCAGATCATTTAACTCAAAACTCTAAGAATATAACATTTTTTTTTACTTTTTTGATGGAGCTTATTTTGATATTCAGTATAACATTATTATTTTACAACTATACAAACCACATATTATTCATTTTTTTTTAAATATGGCAGAAATAAAATTTGAAAACACCACCTCCACCAATAAGTAGGGAATATCAAATTAAAATTTATTTTTATTTTGCTGATTATCTACAAAAGAAAGACAATTATGATAGTGCAATATGAACAAGAAATATGCATGTCATTTGTATATCCTTAGGGATAATGTCCACGGTGGTTTGTTAACAATAAGACATTTGTTGCACATGTAATACAGATATGTAAACTTGTCATTTTCTGGTATCAATCAATACAAAGTACACATGTGTAAAACTGCCTTTTGTGCTTGTTTAATTTTTTTGTTTAAGTTTGTCACGTAGGTCATAAACTTACCCACAAAACAAATCGAATTAACACCTTAAAGGACTATTTAGTAATTTCTATTTTGAAAAAATACTTCTAAATATTTATTACACTTTGGCATAACGATAATTGTATGAACCCTTATCATAATTAAGTAACAGGACATCATCAATATACATGAAAGTGAAATGAAAGAACTATGCAAGATGTTTTTTCTTTGTGTCCTTGAAAGGGTTTTGTATGAATTCTGCTTCTTATGAGTACAATAATAAGTCGGCCAAAAAGGATGCACACTCAGAATACATTGCAATATCGACTTTCTGTTTAATATTAATCAAACACACTTAACAAATAAGTTGCCGATAAAAAGTCCAGCGTTATGATATCATTATCGAGTGTATTTGTTTTCGGAATTAGTGCGGTAAAAACAGTAAGATTTTTCATTGCCTAAAACAAAAAATTTGTATCAAACAATGCTAATAAAATGAACACTTGATTACATGTTTTCCTTGCGAAATAAATTTCATTTCTACTATTTCATATCGAAGCTGTCCTTTCCTCTTGAGATTTGTGACTTCTGTTTCAGGGACGTGTTCATTAATATTTGGCACTTTGTATTTGATGTTTAGAATGGTTATGTGTAAATGTTTTTTAAAAGATTCGACTGGGTGTTATCATGTGACGGTTATTTCAGAATACACATGTTTTCCACGTAGATATTCTTTTTTTTTTATTTTATCTTATCTTATATATGAGTCCACACTGCTGCTGTCATACTGCTTGTTCTCGAAGGTATCGTCAGCTTAGTAGTCATTGATTCGGTACTAACATGATTTATATTATACCTTTTTAAATGTTCTGTTGACAAATTTAGAAGTTATTCAGAACTCTCTGAACAAATTTGATTTTTTGTGCGTTAAGCACTTAAAGTATTTAAGTATTCATACAGCCTTGGCTTTAAAAAATTAGGGGTTGAGTACTCCTACTGAAGGTAAATCATGACCACTTTTGATGCATCGTATTCACAAATGTAACTTTAATTTTGTATAAACTAATTTGGTATCCTTAATTTTCATATCTAAAAATTTCCAAAAGAACCAAAAAATTACCTATACCAATATGAGTATATATATATATTTTAAAAAAGCATAAGTTAAGGAACAAAATAATCTAAAAATATTGATCGGTGATGGAACTCCTTTTTGGGATATTTGATTTTGAAAAAATGGCGGGAAAAGGCTGACTCGGACTTTTATCTTATATTAAGCATTGGCATTATTTGTGTCTCAAATCGTAAGAAAAGAAATCAAGATTCTGCTTAATTTTGGTAATGACCTTTTATGAGCCATTGGAGCCTTCTATGAAAAGAAAAGTGGGTGATATGGGACAAACTATTTCACCTTTGTATCGTAGGAAAAAACCAAGGAGTCCGAACATCTGACAAAAATTCCTAAACCTTAAATGACAACATCCTCAAGAAACTATTCTTTTTTCGAACAAATTTTCAAAGAAGCAAACTTACTCGAACTTATATGTTCTCAACCGACCCTCATTGTCAATTTCTAGATGTAAGTCAAGATATAAGGGTAGGTCGAGAACAAAACTTTACGACAAAAGAGATGATTTCAGCTTCCCGATTGTGAACTTTCCATTTTTATGTAGCAACATTCTAGCAGCGCCTGTATATGAAGTATATCTCCCAGTTATTACGATATTCCAGGGCTTGCGTTTCCTATCATGATTTCCTTGATAGAGAGTTGCTGCTCACAAGGAAGCTATAAAACCAAGAGTTTCAAATGGTGAAGTTGAAATCTTCCCTTCGAAAATTTTACGGACGGCATCATGAGTTGGTTGACCGTTATGGCATATTTTTCGAATCCCCTCCAGAAAATGTAGGAAAATTAAACAAATCTGTGAACATAGATCAAAACCGAATTTAAAAATGGCCCAAACCTGACGGTATGCTATAATTACTTCTATGTATTTTTCTTCAATTACATATTCTTAAATATTCTTTAACATTACATTAATTATCCTTAACTCAGTCTATAATGACGTGGAAGAGACTTAGTTCAGAGGTCATAAAAACATTATGAACTGATATTCTTGATAACAGGAACAACTAGATTTACATGCAAAACATATGTAAAGTGTCGTGTAAAGAATACTTGGTCATATTGAAATATATTGCCTTGTTAATAAGCAAAAATCAAATAGCGCTTTTAAGACGACCGTTAATGACATTGTATTATTTGTTGCAAAATACAGGAATGACAGCTCCTGTTCATTCGTTCAACATCTCATTGTTTCCCAATACTGTGATAATTAATCTATTGTTTATTGAATATTTGTTAAAGTGTAAATAAAAACCCGCCCATAGGAACTTCAATCTACAAAATTCGTATTCAGATTCAGATTAACACATAACCATCCAAATTATCATAATCATTTGATAAGTCATTTTTAAATGTAAAGAACTTACTTATTTTCGATTAAAAAAAAACCGTTGAAATGTTTAAATAAATGGTAAAGTTTTAAAACATTTTATTTGGCTGAATATGCACAAGTGCATGATACACAAGTAACGATTAATATCTGGAAATCTATGGATTTTGAAAGAGTGCTATCTGTAAAATTGTAATTCAAAATTCGCACGTAGGAACTCAGATAAACACATGACCACCCAAATTATCATTTAATAGATTGTTTAAGTGAAAGGAACTTACTTATGTTCAATTAAATAAATAAGTTTGAAGACATTTTTTTTGCCTGAATATGCAAAAGCTCTTGGTACACAAGTAATGATTAATAGTTTTTAATATTTATCATTTTGTTTTTTTAGTTTGAAATAATAAACGCATATAAAAGATTGTATACTTTAAAAGTTTCAGTCTGCTTTTTTATTTTCATGTTATTTTTACATGAAAAGATTGGAAGATGTATATGTAACATTAACATGTGTTTTCTGATTTATGTCATAAATTAAAAGTCACTTGATGTTTTATGTAAACCATTAAATAAGTTTCTGCACTTAGTAAAGGACATTTCTCTGCTAAATGAATGAATCTATCTCGTGTGTTTTCGTATCCAATATCGAAAATGGTCATATGTGCTTTGGCTTTAGATCCCTCCCAAGCTCACTGTTC